CTGTGTAACTGCCTCGAGGGTGCTTGACCATTTTAACACAACGTGGTGCGATCATCCCCCTTGCGCGGAGTGAGGGTTCTCGACCCCGCACCACATGATCTACTCGACCACCATGATGGTTACCGCCAAAAAGAAAAATAACGAAGGCAAAAAGAAAGCGGTAACCTAGTTGCTGAGCTNTGGTGCGATTATCGCCTTCGCGCGGAGTGAGGGTTCTCCGCCCCGCACAACATAATCTGCTCGACCACCATTCATCGTTACCGCAAAAAAAAAAAAAAGCAAAATAAAAAAGCGGTAACCTGGTTGCCGAGCTCACGAAGTGATCGGCTTGTTTTACAAGATCGCTGCCAAGCGACGAAAATCCAACCCCGATCGCAAACACCGAGGGGGGGGGGGGGGGGGGGGGCCAACAGCAGTCTCGACGACTTCCAGGTCCCAAGCGCCGAATAGTGCGGTACAGCAGTACTCGGTACGGTACACGATTGGGGGAATGTATATGGGTCATGATGGGCGAGCGAAGGGAACTGCGTACCCAGGGTCCGCCAAGGAGGATGGATCAACAGGAAAGATACTCCTATTATAGTAAACATATTTCTGCAACGTTACCGGCGGGAAACAGCGCCTTCACAGAGTGAAGATACAAACTTATGCGGTTTGCTACGCGCATGCCCCCAGCACGCCGCTCTGCCTGCTGGCCTATGTATCGAAATATCCTTTGACTTCGTAAAAAACAAACACCCTCTGGGGGTTATAACTCCAACGTGGACTGGGCGATATGTTTTCAAAAATTCAAAAAGGCCCGGGGCGAAAAGTCCCCTGGGGCGTTGTCTGTTTCTGCTATGCACACCATGCTGTCATGCACCTGCAATAGCACAACTAGCTGAACAAAAAACACAGCGCTGACGCGCTGACCCAACAAACACGGCAACACACGAGAATGCTGCCACAATGGAATGCCGTCCAAGGGTTGTGTGTGCAGTGTGTGCGAGCGCCCCCGCCCGCTGGGTGGGCCAGTAAGTTGCCGAAATTGGAACATGCCAGGGGAAGAGGCGCAAAAAAAAAAAAAGGAGCTCCTGCAAGAACCCGGGGCTAGCTCACAAAGTTCTGTTCTATCTGTGCATACCCCCGGTAGTACTCGGTATTTGAGAGGGGGGGCGGGTGCACTCATGGTGGGGGCATTCTCAAAGGACATAACGAACGGTACAGACGCAAGTGCTCGCAGTGTTCAGAGTATGACGGAAGATAGCACCCCCTCCCTTGTTCGCGTGCCCCAAAAGTACACCACGTGCATGAGGCGCAGCACAGCCGAAAACGATGCTCCTCTCAACGAAAGCGCTTGGGATATGCTATTAGTCTGTAAATATTCGAAAGCCACCTTTACTAACTTCCAAGTAGGGAGTGAGATGGTTTCCCAACTTAGGGGTGGGGTTATGGTATCTTCCGTCCAAAATGGGTCGCAAGCGGATATTGTTGGCATCTCCGCTGCAAGATATATTTGTTTGCCGATCGTCGGGAGAGACGACGATCAGCACAGCATCGTATCTTTCTCTCTCTCTATCAAGTATTGAGCTCTTATGCATACGGAGGAACAGCAGTAGTCGCAAGGATCCACGCTATACATCTGCTGCAGAGCACCTGCGTGGAGGGGTGCTGCACACTTTGCCAATCTCAATGAACAGGACACATGTGTTCATATACGCTGCCTTAGACCTGCTCACCAGTCTCCCTCTCTTTCTTCTTAACCTCAGCCATCCTTCCGTGTCCTCGCTCTTTCTTTCCTTCGTGTACTGGTTGGTCTGTGGTGTCTGCTTCGTTTGGACGAGATATTTTTCGGGAGGGGAGATCTGCAGACCCACCCCTCATCGAAAGACATGCCTCCAGAGAGGCTCCTTTTGACGGCAGGTGACACACATCCGCGTCCTTATCGGCGGTTGAGGAGGAGAGGAGGGAGGAGAGAGATCCGTCAAAGGTGAGAAGAAAGAGATTGACGTAGCCTGGAAGTTGGTGCTTACCCTCTGCTCGTTTGTCCCCTCCCTGTGAACATCCTATCTTGCTTGGCCAGATTTCACCTCCTGTGTGTATCTCCGCCCTACTTTGCAACTTGCATTTTTTTTGTCTTCGTCCCGATGATTCGTTTTGTTCAAAGTTCACCCTGATAGAGGCAAAGGACTGCGGGCTACGACCGGCCTGCACACGCCATGGGCAAAGGTGAGCTAGGAACATACCCTGTTGCCTCCGAGGCTTTACATATCTAGCCCTTAGAGTACATGCATGCGGACTGCGAGTGACAGCTTGTCGTGTGTGTGAGAGGGTGCTAACCTGTTCCCTTAGCCCTGTTGTTTCGTATGTCTATTCTTTCATGCGATGCCGCGCGCTCCATTCTTCTCAAAAACGTAGTCATTTCGAAAATAACGCCACTGTACTATACACGGTGCAATATATATGGACGGTAACACCAACATTTTGGGCCCGCCACCACACCCTCTGTGCTCTGTTATTCGTGCGTGTGGGTGGATGGAACTTGGTCTCGGGGAGGACAGGCGAGAATAAGACCATCAAGGCGGCGGGCAAGCCACGGGACGATGGCCCTCCTTTGACCTTGAGGGAGATACAGCTAGCACCGGTGATATGGGCCAAGCTTTCGGGATACTCGTGGTGGCCGGCTCGGGTAAGAGAGACGGCAAGGGGAAAGCTGGTTGGGCACCGAAAATGATGCACCACGAACGCGCTCTGATTGGTCAACCGAAGATACGAGACACCCTATTCACGCGAAAATTAGTTCCACCCTTATTATGGTGTGCTGCCAGAGTAGGAAAAAACACCGCATGTGTGCACTTCGTATAGACTATCGCCGGGTCTGTTCCCCCCCTGGCCCTAAAAGCAGCAGCAGCTGGTATTTAGGGCGGGAGCGTTTGCGGATAGATCGTCCCCTCCGCCCTAATCGTGACCATGGGGTCGGAGAGCTTCCTCTTCACCTGAAGCACAGACGGAGATGGGTTTTCGATTGTGTCCTTTTCGTGTGGCTCACCTTGATGTATTCATAGCATCACACCCAGCAGCCGCCACCAGCCGGTGGTGTTTATGCCGGCCACGCTTTACACAACAGCAGCTGTTTGGTAAGANGGGGGGGGGGGGGGGGGGGGGGGGGGGGGGGGGGGGGGGGGGGGGGGGGGGGGGGGGGGGGGGGGGGGGGGGGGGGGGGGGGGGGGGGGGGGGGGGTTGACGATATGAGCAACCTAGCAACCTGGAAGCGTAGGAGACGGGCGATAACTGGCGGGATTTGCTGTGTGCCTACCCTTTGCCTCTCAGCAGGTCGAAAAGTGTAGTTTCTTGTTTTCTCGGCGAGAGAACAGTCAATTAAGTCTTTTGTAGCGAGATCGAGCGAAGCTCTATTATAGTTGCTGCTCCTTTTGTTAATGTACGTTCGGGACGTGATGTTGATTCCGAGCGTATGGCAAGAAGTGGGGCTAGATGTGCAGTGATTTTTCGCACTCAAGCATTCAGCCGTGGGCTGGCAGGTGGTTGCGTGTGTGCGTGTATTCGTGTGCGTTGTCGCACCAGGCGGCGAGGTTTTTTATTTAGTTGGCCTCCTACCACCCAATTGTCCACACCCGAGCAAACAAGAGGGTTGCACACACGGCTGTCCCCCTTCGTTATCTTCTACTTATTTACTAGTATTGTCCATGAGGCAATAGAAAGAACCCGTGTGGGGGAAACAGACCGCTGCTGCTGTGGTATGCAACTCTCCGGTCTGTTTGTCCGTTCTCGCGACACGGCTTTCGTTTCACACGCACGAAACGTATTTTAAATAGCTCTACAGTAGTTCCCCCCCCTCTTCTTCTGGGACTCTGCCACAGAGCATTAGAACATCTTCCGACCCATGATGTACATATATCTACCCGGGCCTTCCCGCCCGGGCGCAAGCGGCACTTTTTTTCCTCCAGAAAGATTCAGATTTTTGTTGCTTCCATTGAAGCGAAGTGTGTATGGACCCTCCTTTTTTTCGGATTATGATAAGCGACAAGGTAGACGTTGCAGCACACAATTTTTTCAGAGAAATGTGGCCGTGGCCTCCTTGCTATTTTTGCCCCCCCTGTTTCGCGGCACGATCGATCTGGCCTTGGTTTGTGACGCGTACTCTTTTTTGAAGTGCGCTGTCCTATAAGCAGTATATTCACATGACATGCAATCTGCCTGACAGCAGACGGCAGTAGGACGCCTGTCCTGCATCCCATCGATTGGTGCATACCCTCCATAACCCCATTTTGATCAAATGCGCGTTTGTCGTCGCCCGACACCACACAAAGGTGTGAGCTTCAAGGCAAGATATGCATAGTAGGTGCAGAACTCCAATAAGAAACCAGCAGAAGCCTTCACTTCTATGTTTTTATCCACAGTAGTCAACGGTCAGAATATTCGGACGGTTTGGCAGCAGCAGTGCTGAGGTGCTGCTGCGGCTGCTGCTTCTGCTGCTTTTGCGTAGCCCACGTGTTTCCTACAGCAGTAGTGCTGCCGCGGTCACTGAAGTCGAAGAATTGCTTTATATGACGGCACGGATTTGCGCATAATCTGGCGTTTTTCCCGGGTACGTCACACCGCTGTACGTACGGACTGATGGTGCGGTACTTCTGGTGATGTTTTGTCCTGGCGACGCTGGCTTATTTTCTTCAGGCTGCTGCACGCATGCTGCACGAGCACGAGGCGAGCCTGGGCGCATGTATAGTATGTTCATCGGCACTCCGCCGGTGCCGCGCCAACATTCCTCTCCCCCCTGCCCGTGAAAAAAACGACGGGTTGCAGTGTAGCGATCGTTCGATCGAGTTCGAACACCCACCAGCGTAGCAAGGATCGCCTGCGAGGCAGCCTTGAGCACGACACACTGCTGTGGCACATTCGAAAGAGCGCTGGGCGGAGCGTGTGTTGTATCCCACAGTCTGCTGCTAGCCCTGTGGGACTCGTGCCATCGCTGCCGCTGCTGCTACTTTTGCGTTGCTACGCTCAAACTTGCTGACCGCTCTTGGTCTCACTCCCAATGCGAAACAAACACCGACACAGCAGCAGCAGCAGCACCGCAATCACACACATGACGGCAGTGTGACAATTACCGCTGTCGCGTAGCGGTCTGTAACGCGTAGCAACCTGCTGCTGCTGCTGCTGCTGCTGCTGCTGCCGCCGCCGTTGTGGGCCCACGTGGTCTGTGAACGCTGTGCAGGTGGCCACCATTCACGAGGTGAAGGGGATCAAGAGGCCCCAGGGAAAGGACATGATATGCACCTACTTTCTCGGAGATAACAATATGTGAGGAGTGCTCCCCATGTACCCTCCTTCCTTTGGACAGAGTTAAGAGTTGTTTTGTAGGGGTGTTCCGCCCTTGGTGGTGTTTGTTTTTTGTGTTTTGTTTTGTTTTCTTCTTCGTTGTCCTTGACTCTTTGGCGGTCTTCGTCTATCGTTGCTGCCGTTCGATGCTTGCCTCCCTGCCTCACTGGGTCTCCTGGTTGGGGTGCAGTGGCTCGAGCTCTAGAGCCGGGTGCCTTTTTTTATTTCATTTTCTCACTACTGACGTTTGGCTCTCTCGTTGCGCACCATCCTTTGCGCCAACCAACCGCCCCCCTGCGTGCAGAGGGTTCGTGAAGTTAAGCAACGTCCTCCGGTTCACCCGGGAGAACTGCGAGCAGTACGGCTCCCGCATCACCACCAAGTCCTTCAAGGACGGGGTGAGCATTGATTTTCAACCAGCAGCGGTCATTATCTAGGTCTAGTTGCCGTGCCGCAATCCGCTGTACTCGAGAGAAACGCTCAAAAATGCACGCGCCCATCCGCTCGCCTGCTGTACGCAAAGAGGGGTTTTCTCCGACTCGTTCATGAGATTCAAGAGGAGTTTTTTTTTTTTTTCGCAGTGCCGAAGGCATGGCGGCGTAGCACGGTCTTGCGAGTCGCAGTGGCGGGAAAATTGGTAGAACGTGTTTCTCAATATTTGTTTGGCATGCTTGTGTGCCAGGTGGCGGCGGCGATTGCACTGCTGAACGAGAGCGAGACCTGGGACAAGGAGTTCCAAGCCAGAGCGCTGGTGAGGTTTAATGCCCCCATTTTTTTTCCGTTCCGTTTCGCTGTTTTGTGCCCTGTCAGTTTTTCCTCGCTCTGTCGGACGGTATGCCTAGCAGGGCTCGGCATGATAGGATACTACGGTTTAGCTCGTATTGCGACGAGTTTGATTGCACGGGGTGATGCTGCCTGCACACACACGTGCGCGCGTGCATGTATGTGCCAGCAGCGACCGCGGGTGACGGACATGCTACATATCTTGAGGGGAGGACTGCCTTGCCCCTCTCTCTCTGTTCTCTTCCTCTCCCTCTCTGGCTCTCTCCCTCTCTGTATCACTCAACACACAAAACACACACACATGCGCACATTCCCGGACCAAGCGACCCGACGCCACCCATGGCGTTGTCTCATGACACGTGGTTCCATCCGATATCATCTCTAGAAATAAACTTGTTGCTTTTGTATCCATTTCCTTTCCTCCATGCTCTCGCTTTTCTCTCCAAGGATGCCGCAACAGCGAACGGTAACGCTGGGGCAGACAAAAACCTGGCGGCGGTGGGCGCCGGCGTCTTGCACCCAGTTCCCGGCATTCCGTTCTTGGAGGATGGCGCGTGCGAGGTGTGTGTCTTTGTTATTAGCATCGACCGCGCCCACTGGCTGACCAATGAAAGTGTACGTGTGTGTCTTGAGTTGATTTTGCATCGACCGCACTCACCGGCTAACCACTGAAAATGACGTCAGGCTCATTGCGGCTG